CACAAATGATGTATGTATGGATTGTGAAAAGAGTTGTATGAGCCCCTAATAAAATGATTTAAAAAAAATAAAGTCAAATGGAACATCCGTATTCAGATTATCCAAAAGGCGGCAAGAAAAGGGAAACCAGTGGGAAAAATAAGGGGACTGACAGAAAACAAAGGACAGCCTCCATCATAAAAACCATCCCATCAAAATCTGAACAGTCTAACGCTCCAATGAAAAGCAGAGATTTCTAAACCGCAAGACTGCTATATGCCAACTATGAGAAACGTTTTACATGTAAAGACATAGTTGAAAGTAAGTGGAAAAAGACATACCATGCAAACAGTAAGTATAAGGAGGCTGGAGTGACTTTTAATAGCAGATAAAATAGACTTCGAAGTCAGACAGTGTAAGATATGACAAAATAATAATGTATAAATTATCAAGGGTTCATGAGGGAAGGGGGAGCAGGGAGGGAGGGGGGAAATGAGGAGCTGATGCCAGGGGCTTAAGTGGAGAGCAAAAGTTTTGAGAATGATGAGGACAACAAATGTACAAATGTGCTTTACACAATTGATGTATGTATGGATTGTGAGAAGACTTGTATGAGCCCCTAATAAAATGATTTTTTTTAAAAGTAGACTTCGAAAACAAAGAATATACCAGAGGTAAAAATGGTTCCCATCTCTCCTAACTGACGTCTTTCTCTTTCCTTTGTCACTCAATCTTGACCTCAGACACAAAATTTAGCCACCTGGACATGGCTGCGATAGCCGTCCTATTGCAGGACCCAAAGCAGCACACCTTTCAGCTAGCTCTCCCCTTGCACACAGGACTACACGGCCACTGCAGTCACCCTCAGTAACCACCACTTCAACAGCTGACAGTATGCACTGCTATGGGCTGGGATGTTAAAATCCTGATTCTTCAGTGTGTTTCCGCACACCCCACACGACGCGAGTGCTGGGCCACACTGCGAACCAGCTCCAGCTCTCTTCAGGACTCCAGTACGGTCCACAACCAGCAGCACAAGAGGCACCTAGAAGCTTGCTAATACAGCTTCTCAGCCCCACCCCAGCCCCTGAACCGAAGCTGGGATTTGAATAGATCTCAGGTGATTCACATGCACTTTAAAGTCTGAGAAGACCTACTTGGCCCACTATTTAAATATGTTAAGAATTCTATGAAGCATTCTTCTCCCCAGAGAGGCACACAGGCAGATCATCTGGGCCTCTCCGTCAACGACAGAGCCAAGGATCTGAAGCATGAGCAGTAAAGCACATGGCCAATGCCAAAGCTTCCCAGACTTGCTCTGCCCATGACAACCGCAGCACCTCAGAAACATTCTCAGAGCACCCCCTAGGCCAGTGGTTCTCAACCTGTGGGTC